ACATGAAGCTTTCAGTTCTCTTGAGAGACTGTCAAAATGCCTGAAAACTCCTCTACGAAAAAACACTTGGCAATCCTTGAAGGTTGCGTTTGGTCGTTGAAGCAAAATAGCTTAAAATTATTGTAAATGAGAGTTAAAAAATACTTTGAAATCTAGCATCGAGGACAAATTTCAGCACATGGAAGGACGAAGAACGTAGGTGAAAAGACTACCTTATACACCTTTCTCATAATGGCTGACAAAAGCACGAAAACGAGGTCACCCAGTCATTATTTCACGATAAAAGAGATAAAATTACATGAAATGGCTTTAAAGAAGAAAAGTATAAAAAAATGACCTTTGTTTTGATCTGAATTAGCGCTAACAGCCTTTATTTTGAATGAGCAGCTTGGCTCAACCTTGCAAGATGACTGGGTGGCCTCGTTTCCGTGCGTTCATCAGCCATTATGAGAAAGGGTGTATAGGGATAGCGCGCGATAACGGGGCTCTGAGTCACATGCTATACAATTCCCTTGAGGACGCACATTAAAAAAATAAAATAAATTATTGACTATTTTCTACTTTCCCAGACTTATAATACTTTGCGGCTTGGGGGATAACCAGAGGAAGAACCGCATTTACTTACTGAAGGCTGATCAGACAATGTTGAAAATATCTTGATAGATGAGGCAATGCGCCATGTTTCATCTAAGGCTCGTAATTTACCTATTACGTATGTTCTTATTTGAAAATATCTTGTTTGGTATCCAAACTATAACATGAATAAGTAAGAAACAAAAATAGATAGAAGCTTGAAGAAGTTTAAAGTAAATTTTAAACATTTTTTCGTAAGTAAATACATTTTCTGTAAGAAAAAAACTCTTGATGCTCTGTACGCGCAAAATTAACTCGCAATAAACTGATAATCAGTATTGTACAGATAAAAGCAGATATGATATAGTATAAGTTTTTGATTAAAGTATAACATCGATTAACCATATTGACTCTGGACGGTTGAATCACCGGACGTATTACGTCCTTAAAGGAGTATCGCGCGGTCGCGTTGTTGTTGGTTGGCCATAGTACAAACAGAGAAAGAGTTTTGAAAACGTTGCCATGGGCATCCGCGAGCTGGGGTGGTGTAGCGTCAGTCCTGACCGGTTTTCGTCTCTTCGGTAGAATTTAAAAAGCTAAATTCCACTTCGATCTGTGAATTAGTCATGCTCTGACTTAGATCAGCCCAGAGGTTGTTTCAGGGTTCAATCTGTGAGTTAGCCCGGCACATCGAATTCACGGAACCAACGGAATCAACGGAATCAACGGAATCTCTTTGAAACATATGGAAGTCAAACATCATTAAAATAAAGACAAATCAAATTAAAAGAAAAAGTTAAGAACTTCGTGCTCGGTCGTCCTCTAAGAAAAAAATTATATAAAACAACTCGATCGGAAACCCTATTATTAATATCATTATGATTTATCTACATAGAATGATTACCCAGGAAACAATGACATGTCAAAAACATAACTTTAGTCCAAATCATAGCTAACCTTGAAAGAATCTGTTCATGGATCCAGCAAAACATTGCACATTTTTCCATCGTTTTATGACAAGTTGGACGCCATTTTGTAAGCACAGGTAGCCCAATTTTCAAACACAGGAAGCCCATAGACATAAAGAAGAAGAGATAGGAATGCAGAAATAAAGAAATATGTTGGAAATGAATTAGGGAAATTAATTTATTTATTTATTTATTTATTTATTTTAATGATGTTTGACTTCCATATGTTTCAAAGAGATTCCGTTGATTCCGTTAATTCCGTTGATTCCGTGAATTCGATGTGCCGGAGTTAGCCGTGCCCTGACTTAGATCAGCCCAGAGGTTGTTCAAGTGTTCTATAAAATTTTAATGTTTTTAAAATTCTTGAATAATATCCGTACGCTGAAGATGAAGACAAAAACAAAATAACATATAGGAAGGTTACTGCATCAAGCCGCCTACGCCATGAACAAATCATACAACGAAGGCAAAGAGAAAAGATGTGATGTTGCCTGCAGCTGCGCTCAAGGTACAACATGAATAAAACACTGAAAGAAAAGACAAAAGAAGATATAAAAAGATGAAGACAAAAAGAAAATATCATATCGGAAGCGTTACTACATCAAGCCGTGTTTCAAGCCGTACGCCATGAATAAATAACAACGAAGACAAAGAGAAAAGATGTGAGGTTGTAAGGCTATTGTATGCTGCGCTCAAGGTACAGCATTAGCGTTTGAGCGTACTGGAGAGAAGCATTGGCATGTGTTCTTTGATTCTGCGGTGAAATTGTGGCCATAGCTTTATTTTTCTTGGATTTATTGAGGTTTGATTAGAGGTTGGTGTTGCCGTGAGCGTGCAGCCTTCCCATTTTCTTTAGTAGGAGTACAAAAAAGCAGTAAAAACGCACCAAACTGGCTTCAAAATCAGCAAAACATCAAAAGGTACAACAAGCTATCAAGGAAAGTCGTTTTTGTACTTAAAAGTACCAATTTTACATGCTACGAAATAGAGTGCTTTTAGAGTGCTTTTAGGCCCCGTCCACACTATGCCGGATAAATTTGAATACGAATTTTTATTTATTCGGTTAGGCCTACCGTCCACACTAGGGCGAATCCGGAACAATTCTTCACCGAAAACGAATTTTCGAAATGGAACCGAATAAATAAAAGTCTCCTTAGTCTCACTGTTTAATAGTTGGCCTCAACTAAATTAGATAAGTTAGTTACTATTTTAGCTGACGTCACCTAAATTTGAAACTAAGAGTAAACAGCTACTGAGATCAGGGGGAGAAACGATGATACAAATGAATGTCTATTCACTCATTCTCTGGTAAAACAACCCCCCGGATTAGCATGGCCGTTATTTGGCGCGCTTTTACTATTTTAGGTGACGTCAACTAAATAGTTATCTAAGTGAGACTAAAAGCACACCACAGAACAAGAGATTGGGCGGAGGAGGAGTGAATACTATCCCATAGTGCTTTGCGATTGTATAGTTTCAATGTGGCGATAAGTTGCTACCTTGACTGAAACGCAACACGAAAAACAGCTTTTATTCTAGTAACGAGGGATGTTTCTACTTTGCTTCATTACTAGGTAAGTTCTAGAGATAATCATTTATCATTTGTGTAATTTTGGACTTGAATAGACGAGTTTAGAGTGTATAATTTTACATTTTCCTCAATGTTACAATCAGAAAATGTTAGGCTGTTAGAAACACAGCAAAGCTGCTGAACGTTCATTATTTGAATGGCCTATAATTTCTCTAAATAAAAAAAAACATAATTCTCTAATTCTATGTGATGCTTGGTTCTAGAATTCTCTTGAAATAAATCTTTGTTTACGTGACTTTATAATTATAGCGTTACTTTGGGCAGTGCCATGTTCAAGTTAGACTAAAACAACAGCCCAGGCAAAAAGCCTTACAGAAGAAAGTTGCTGCTCAATAAGAGGGAAATATGCTTTAAAAACTCTTCTTTCTGAGCACAAAGGAGCAGAAATTTGAAACAGTCTTCACTAATTCTGAAGAATATTTTGAAAGAAATCTCTTGGTCTAAACGCTTCGGTCACTTGAACACAATAATCAACGTCCCAAAAAATTCTATAATATACTTGCTTTCGCAATGCACTGTGGGATACTATTCACTCCTCTGAGATTGGGCTGTCTGTGCACTGACCAGACCGAAGCTGATCGCGGTATTTAAACGATTATTTTCTTATGGTTTCAGGGGATTCCAACTTTTAACAACTACTCTGAAGCGTGATGATGAACAAACAGTGCTTAGAAATGTTGATCATGTGGTTTATTTTATGCCATATCTTGTATATCTTTTGGGATAACTTATGGGTTATCTTGCCATTGGTCTATTTTATCTTATATCGTATCTTCATAATATACGATGTTCCAGGAGAGAAGCTTAAATTCTGCACAGCTCTCAAGAAATATGGATTACAACCAAATGAATTTAATAACCTTCTCACAAGCAAGATGGAAAAACTCTTTAATGGTATCACAAAAGAATTGCCAAGTCCTGTTAACACAAGCAAAAAAAAGGCAAAACGATGTTTATGTATAAGAGCAAACACAACAAATTCAAAGGTGTTAGATCAAGGAAACCGCGTTGCTATCCGATTACGCATTTTGGAACAATTCAAAGGCAAACTATCAGATCTAATGAAATCTCCAAGCTGTATCCAAGAGGAAACTAGGAGTCAAGGGGATATCAACCCCAGTAAGTCAGATCACAATGAATATCACCTAGAGCAAGCCGAACTTTTCCGGGAATTGCAAAAGCAGGGAAAACTAGACAGTGATAGTTTTGACGATAATGGCTACTTATTAGAGAATAATGGTAAGAAATGTTCTATTGTAAGTATGTGCAACAAACTTGATAGTATTACACAGGAATATATTAAAGAATATGAAAAGGAACAAAAAGATCCTGCAAAAAGAAGGGGGCAAGATAGAGAAGTGGCAATGAGAAACGGGGAATCCCTTGTGAAATTATTCTTACCCTGTATTCGTATAATAATGGGAAGAACGTCTGTAGATTGGGCAATAGCTAACAACATAATGAGTGTGAATGGATATAAACAGTGGAAAGAACATTTATGGGCATTAATGACATTTGCTGCATTATCAGTTGTTATCGATGCCCTGTCTAAATTACCTAAATATGGATCAAATAGCCTTTTTGCTTTTATAACCAGCTGGTCAGCTGGCCAGCCATCCAACCAGCCATCCAACCAGCCACCCGACCAGCGAGCCACCTGACCAGCCACCTGACCAGCCAGCTAATTAAAATGTGTTTTTGATATACAGCATGGAACAGACACGATTGCTGAAAATTGTAAATGTCTGTTTTAGAATCAATGCATTTATGCTACTAAAAGATTTGGTCGGACGTTCTGTATTCCATTGGGATAAACTACCCATTGTTTGGGTGGACACTCAAGCATACCGGGGATCAGTCCATTCACTGTCCACCTCAGTCTAATTATGACTGGACCCTTACATACAATAATATCATATTTATATAATAGTTCTAAATTCTAGAATTTTAAAGAAACATGACTTGTAGAGTGTTGAATGAGCGGAGTATGCATATCCTCTCATTCTTTACTATCAATAGATAAGGTTTAAGGACTTGTCTTGGCATGTTTCGACTTAACAGTCGCTAGTTGCATATTTTAAATTGCTCCCAAGTCAATTCCAAAAAGTCATAATCATAAGTTATAATATGTAGTGTTTAAAAAACGAGTAGGAGTGTTTTATCAGGTATAAAAGCATGAGGTGTAGCCGAGTGCTTTTATACCTGATAAAACACGATCTACGAGTTTTTTGAACTGCTTAAAACACTCATGAACAATTTATAAGATTTTGGTTCAACTGGAGTCACCATACACGTCACAAACATGGATTTTTATACTTTGATAGAGATTTGACGTCACGGGCATGCGCAACTAGATTCAATAGAAGCTCCCACACGTTGGGTATTGCGTGCCAATTAGGCAAAAACAGGCACATTAGTCAAAGATCATTAGGGTTGACTATGACCTTGATGAAGCTCTATATCTTCATCTAAACTTGGATGCATACTTCATCCCTGATGAAGTCATCATAGTATTCGAGTGGTCTTAATATAAAGATCACATGTGTCTTTATATAAAGACACATGTGTCTTTATATAAAATCACTTGAATACTAATGAAGAGGACTTTATCGGGTATAAAGGTTCATGCATGTGACGTGTATGGTGGCTCCAATTGGACCATAAGCTTATGAATTATTAATGAGTGTTTTAAATACATTTTAAAGATACAATTTTACCTTTATTAGGGAATTTTATTCTAGTCATTACATATTTCATGTTATTACTCCTTTGTTATGATTTTCTTGAAAAGCACTTGTAGCGAGCCAGTGGAGCCATCCTCCCATTAAGTGGTTATTAGAATTTTATTATAAATTGTTATTTTAGGCCAGGCCGTTATTAAGGGTTGCTCACCTGTTGTTAAACATTCATGGTTGTGACTTCAGATAACTTACCCATAGTTAATGTATTCTCAGCAGCTCAAAACTTGAGCTACAATATATGTCAGAATTTAAAATTCTGGTGGATCATTGGAAATTGATTATAGAATTATAGAATTCAGTTATTTAAATTGTTAAGGTTTGCATGGTTGATATGTCGGACACCATGTTTAATTTAGCTGTGGAAACTGCTGCAATGGTGATTGGTTTGCTGTTGCTTTGTAGCTTGTAAGTCAAAGCCATGAATTAATAATAGTACCCTTCACAGTTTCCTGCGCCATCATGAAGGGAAACCGTGCATCAAAGTTAGAACAGCGGTGATCTCGCAGACGTGAATAATCATCAAAGGTGTTAAAAAGGTCTGTATCATTACAAGGACAGCGCTAACCTCGCTTCAATGCACAGGCATGGTTACCTTTCAAAATGGTGCAGGGAACTGTGAAGGGGACCATTGCTTGGTTTTAACGTCATTTCCTGTCTCGTGCTGAATTTTCATCAGCTAAATTACAAGTTTTCAGTAGAACACTTTCTGGCTTACACATGGTGGCCATGGCCAGTGTTTAAAAAACCATTTGGAGCAGATAAAAATAATGAGATTCAAAAACTTTTATCAGCTGATTGAAACCCAGCAATTGATTGTAGTTGCATGTTATAGAGGGCCCTTCAGCTAGTAATATATGTATGTATGGCCATAATAAGCGCATTTAGGCATGCTTGGAATGCGTACTAAAAACTATGTGTATTATTAGTATCATGCACATGCTAATCGAGATCTGGTAGAGAAACGCACAAAAACAAATACTTGTCAGTGTCACCAGATTCGGCCCAAAATTTTGTTTGGTACGTGTTCGTTACCAGTTCTCGGCCTCGGAACATCCCGAACGTCTCATTTAAGTATTAAATGTTATCA